ATTTGAAAAATCATCTAAAGGTTGGAACCGGATTCGACATTCTGATTTAAACCCAGATATCCGCAGGGTGTATAATTTATTAAGCTTTAAAAAACTTTATTTGATCTGCCGGATCTAAATCCGGATATAAAAATAAACCCGGTTCTGACCTCTATAATCATCTACTTCATAAGGTAATTTTTTCTAATTCTTCAACAAGTATCAGTGCTTCCAATTTAAAACCTGCTCGATAAATAGTGTATTATTTTGAAAACTTTGTTCTAATTTAAAATTAAAAGCAAAAAAATCAAAAATCGTTTTTATATTCTACATTGTATTATAATCAACCTGTTAAACCGTCAAATTCGCAAAGTTGTTATCGAAAATTTCGATACTTTCGAGACCTTCAAAACCTATCAAAACCCATCGAAACTGTCGAAACCCATCGAAACCCATCGAAACTGTCGAAATAATTTCTGAAAAGTTTCGACTTTTGTCAAAATGGGTTTAGGGTTTTGCCCGCAACTATAATTGCCTGATAAGGAAAGGTATATGCAATATGACATTATCAAAACAATAATTTAACTATGTTTTTAAAATAAAATTGTTCTGAATTGAGCTAAAGAATTATACTTGCGGCAAATCATTTAAAAGTTCGCAAATACAATAAAAAAACCTTAATTTATTAATGAGCAATGAGCATGAGCTTTAGAATATGCAATCAGTCAGATTTTATTGACTAAGTTCATCTGCTTAACTATGATACACAGGTTATATCCAAAGCCATTTTAAAATTTTGAAAAAACGAATTCAAAAAATTTAAACAATCAATAAATAAATAATCTTTATTTGATATAATATAATTTCTGAAGATTAATATTTAATTTTATAAATAACTAAATTAGGAAACTACCTATTGTATACTTGACTAATTGAAAAATTTAAACAAATGCAATGAATAATTCACGGTTATGATATAATGCATGATTATAAAAATATCGTATAAGTATTTCATAAATCACCCTGTTCAATAATTTATCTATCATCAATAACAATCTAATTCTATCGGTTGTTTATAAAAATTCGTTGGTATCTTTCCAAGTTTATAAGGGATGCTAATGGTCACGGTGACCGATATCGGTCCAAAGGCTTCTAACCGACCGGTTGACTAACCGATTTGACTGGCTGACAATCATATTTTAATTAGTAAATAGCCCTTTATATAATATAAAATTTTGAAAATTAAAAGAAAAATCTTAAAATGCTGCGCCACTTAATAAGTAAATAAAAACTTGAAAAAAGTTCTTTTGTATAAATAAGTGTTAAAAAAAAATGCTGAAAAATTAAAATTATATTGTTCGGTTAAATAAAAACCTTTTAATAAGCCAAATAATTCTTTTATTATTAACTGATCGGTTGGTCAAGGCCTTTGACCAACCGTTACCATCACTAATTCAATAGATTAGGATTTCATTATCGTTATAAGAATTATTTATAAATCAGACAAAATTTTGTAAGTCACCTGGAGATTCATCAAAGGTTGGCTCTTTTCCATTACATACACATTCGGACCAAAAAATTCCACCATCTCGTCAAATCCTTACAATATAAATCTCACTAAAAATAAATTATGACCACACTGAGCTTTAGATTCGCTGATTCGTATGTCCTTAATACCATAAGATATAAAATTGTTGAAGGCTTCAAAAACGGAGTAGAACGCTTGCAGATATAACGACATCACACTCAACAAGTTTTACATCCAAAATCAGTAATGTATCTTCATTGTATAAACGTTTAGGTTTTAAATCTTAATTTCCTGACATTTTACACCTATTGCAATGCAACTTCGAATACACCACGAATTTGACAAACACTCAATAAGTGTATTTGACATTGAACTTAACAACGACTTCGAATTTGAACCTTCCTCACTTTTTCACAAATGATTTGTTGCTGAACGAAAGATATCCACTTTCATAGTAGTTTAGTGTAACAAAATAATAATAATAAAAAAAAAATAAAGTTTGGTTAAGTTATATTTTTTAAGTAACCTTTATATTTTTGCGTGTGCATATATTTCAGTTAAAGTCGAAAATTTTGTGAAAACGACTAAAAAAAAATTAATTAAAATATTTTTTGTAACTTGAAAAGAAAATAATAACAGGAACGGTCTTATATGTGAGAATATCTATAAATAATAATGCGTCTCTCAAATATATATTTTTAAAGATCAGTAACCATACGTGATGAGTTAATTTATTTTTACTGTATTTTTGAACTTCAAAATTAACGTCATTTAGTTTTTTTCCTTACAATACTTCTTTTTTTTATACTGAAGAAATTTAAAATTAAAGTCTTCTACTAATTATAAAAATATCATTTGTGATCAAGCAGCTACATTGGATACATCCAATAGAGAATTATTGAAGAAAAACAGTATAAAAGTTTTAAATAATGTTAGATTTAATAATTTGCGATAAACTTTAATCAAAAAGCTTAAAGGTTACACAAATATTGTAATACATACTCAACATCATTAAGAATATTTTTAGAGTTTTAAGAATTTAGTTGAATAAATTGAAGAAATAATTGATAAATAAATTTTCTATTGTAAGTGAAGCTAATACTAATATTAAGTTTATTTATTCATATATAAGAATATCAATTAGGCAATTTACCTTTGTTTGTCAATCATTCAAGTTCATTAAAAAGAATAAATAATAAGCTCATAGAAGTTCAGATTTTTTTTGATGAATATTTTAAATTCATTTCACATAAAGTATAACACTTTTATGCATATGTATAATAATAAACTTTACTGTTTTAAACCAATCTTGTTCAGTCATAGAAAAGAATGTTTTCAAAAATCATTTTATAAGATATCCTAAGTCACTGATAACTCATTGTTGAAATTTTATAATTAAAAAATAAAAATTTTATTTTTTTTGTAAAGACGATCAAAAAAAAAAAATTTTCTGAGTAGAAATTATATTTTATTTATTTGTAAAGTATGAGACCTGAATAAATCATAACAAGAAATATCAAGAAGTCATATTATGAGCAATAAAATATTAAATAAATATCTGTGTATGAAATTTGATAAAAAAGAAAGATAGTCAGGTTTCTTTAAAGTCTAATCCTCCTCTTGAACAAATTTTAAAGAAAAGCCCTCCTTCTTGAAATAAACATATAATCTACATCAAATTTTCTCATAAATTCCATTCCTAGAACATATATTATAACTGAAATGCGATTTTGTTAGTGTCATCATACACTATTATGAATTTATGTATGTGTGATAATACACATCGAATGAATATAATACATTCTTGATAAACATAGGTCATGGAGATCTAGTATCTACGAGAAAATGTATATACAATCTTGAAATATCATCATTGCACAAAATGTTAGTAGTTGTTACATTTGGTTTGTAACTTAAAATAAATTTACGAAAAGCTAAAACCATAATAATAATTTAAGGAATTACGGGTGAGATATCATAGATTATTATCAATATAAATATAAAATAACTAAAGAATATATAAATAATAAATAAAGGATTGCAAATAATTGCAAAGATCACAAAAAATTTCAAATATATACACAAAAATTTTATCATAACAATATAGTTTAGGGTAATTTAAGAATAGTTTCAAAGAATCTATCATTACTAATAAATATTTTCTAAATTGATTATAGTATTTAACCATCAAATCAAGCATTTCACTTGAAGTAATTATATTATCAGATGATGGTTTAAGAAATTCGCCAAAAAATGATTCACTGAAAAATGATTCACTACCAGTAACATTTGATTCCTTAATATTTTGTGAATTCATCTAAAATTGATGGATTTCGTCAGAAGAAAATTCATTTGTATTCAAAAAAAAACCAATTGAAGGCTGATTGTCTAGCAATTCAAGCCCTTTTACCTTAATACTACCAAAACTTATAATACTATCAATTTGAATATCAGACATCAATTGATGTATTAGCTTAGGTATGATTTTTCTATTACTATTTGGTAAAGAACCTAAAAATCGTTCATAAATTAGTAAGCTGATTTATTCAAGAAATTCTCAAAAAAAATACCTAATATTCCATTCATGCATTCAAAAGAAAAATACCAAACCACATATAACAGACTATAATTTCTTAAACAATCATATAAATGGAGAAAAAGGTAAAGATTTGGCGTGATTTGTTGCGTCTGTGATTATTTTCAATCAACTTCATCATCTCAATTAGTCTTTGATGTACTTCATATAATAGATCTGATTCTACAATCTAACTTACTAAAATTATACAAATCCTTACGAAATATATAAGAATCTTTCTATCTACAATCAGAAGATATTTTCAAAGTAAAACAGTGGCATATACAGTGAAAATTACTCATTACTGAATGGCCATAAAATTAGAAAATCCTTCTCCTTCATAAATTTTATCTAGAATTTGATCTAGATCGAAAAAATCTGAAACTCGTTCATCTTTTTCTGAATCTTATTCAGAGAATTTGATATCAAAATCTCTTTATCAATCCAAATTCGTTTACTATCTATCATGCAATTCTTAAAAATAGACAATGCATTGGATCGATTATGATATATTTTATAGGGTTAAAATATAGTAAACGTAATAATTCAGATCATCTTACACTACTTTGCTTTACAAATCATTTTTGTGAAATGTTTAAATTACAGCGTCTCCATTCTAACACATTTTAATGATGCTTAATTGGATCTCATATAATGAACTAATCATTGATATTATCCATTCTGATAAAATTATGCTGATGATTTTTATAATTTGCCTTCTTTTCACATTTATAATATGATACTAAGGCTAAAATATGTTCACATATTTTTCTAGTGGCCAATACATCATATGAAACAAGAATTAAAGCTGCACAAATGTTCTTTTCTTCATATGTTTTATCTATTGTAAATCCATCCTAAAGTGATTCCAATTCATCTACAATCAGTGCTAAATAGTGATTTATTTTATGTAAACTGACTTCGCTTAGTCTGGGTAAAAGATCAAGAGTCAGTAAATTTTCACATTTAAATCAGATATTATGAGATAAATTGCATATAGTAGTATATATTACTCTAATGCTATAAACAGTACCACATATAGCTAAAATCAGTCAAGATTTAGCATTGATCTAAGATAAGAATCAGCTACTTCATTTTGAAAAATATTTTCTGAATCTTCTTGTGAAGATTCTTTTAATGTTTGCACACTTCACTATCATATATATCAGTCATAATGTTATCAAAATGTTGATAATTTATCCATTGTCTCAGGCTAGTTTCAAAATTAGGCTGATAATACATAGAATTGAGTTGTTGTTAAATTCCAGAAAATAGAAAGATTAAATTAGGTTGAATTAAAGTTCAATTTGTCGATACGATTTTTAAGATAACTGAGTATTGCAAAATCATGTTTTGCAAATTGATGAATTAGGAAATTCTATATGCTAACATTTTATTACAGTCAGCATATTATTCTGTTGAAAATTCACCACTTCCTGCTTTTGATACAGCTTATGACATTTGAAACAAGAAACAAAATGGTGAAATCAGTCATTTAATCAAAGTGCTATTTTCATTAAATATATTGAATTTGGAAAATTTCTAAATTCGTCACCTCCAATTTCTATCAGAACCAATTTCATATATTTTATTAACGCCTCAGTTGCAGATTCTGTAATGTTGAATCTTGTCTGAAATGACATGATCTAAAGTAAATTCCATAAAAATCAGTTATCAATTGATTCTGTATTTGTGAATTTTGAAATGGTTCGTAATCCGGTAATGCATAATTTTCAAAAGTTTCAAAATTATTCTCTACAGAAATATCATCATCTTAAGATTCACCTGTAATATAATCTTCTTCAGTAGTAAATTCTAAATTTTCTAAATGTTGATCAGCTTCTGTTTTAGGATCATCAGAAGGATTTATGCCAGATTTTGGACGATTTGTGTATTTTCTTACATGTCTTCAAAGTAAAAAAGTAGAATCAAAATCTTCTTGATATCTATCATCAGCTTCATATTTAACAATTTTTATAATTTATCCAGTTGAAATCAATGTTAATAATTCTTCTATTTTGTCTTGTATTCTGAATTGATGAAATGTATCTGAAATAAAACTTTGTGAATCTTGATATCTAACTCTAGTATTATAAGAGGTTGATGGTCTAGAAATAGATATATTTTCTTCATCAGTTAAATTACCAATCGACCTACTTGTTCTTCTATAAGAAGGTGTATTTGAAGATTGAAAAGTTGAAATATCTTCTTCATGGATTAATCTAGGAATCGATCCATTTCTTCTATGAGAAGATATATTAGAAGATTAACTAAATGATGAATCATCATCATTACCACGTAATTTAGAAATTGACCTTTTTTAGCTCATTTTTATTTTATAATTGAGAAATTAAGAGGAAAATAAAAGTTTAAAATAAAGTTATTTTAAAGATAATTTTAGTTGAATTTTATATTTTTTTTAAAAAAATGCAGTAGTTTTGCAAATATTTATATTATTATATTAAATTATTGTATTCCTTTTTTAATAAGTGTAAACAATTAAACAAATTTTCTTTTTAAAATAATTGTAATGTTTATAACTATTTTGTTAAGTTGTTTTGATCTAATGCATCGATAAATTGTTTCTGAATCTTTTATTAATTTAATGCATGATGAAAGTATTATTTCTAATTTACTT